CGGTTTCCAGTGGATCTGTTAACAGGACGCCCACCTTACGAAGAGTTGCCTGAAAATGTGTCAGAGATTGTGAAAGTGTTATCGGAAAGGTTGGATGATATTCACCATCAAGTGCATTCAAACTTGAAAACCTCTGCTGATTCGATGAAGCTATGTTTTGATAAAAAGTATACTGAAGTCAGCTTTGTACCAGGAGACAAGGTGTGGTTGTATAATCCCAGGAAGAACAAGGGAAGTCTCCTAAGTTGGCTTCTCCATGGGAAGGCCCATATGACATATTGGATCGTCTCTCAGACGTGACTTTCCAAATGAAATATGTGGTCGGCGAGGTAAGCCAAAGGAAGTACATGCCAACAGGCTTTGGCATTATCACGGTCCAAGACATTTCATTAGGGACGAAGTGAACAATGGAACAAAAGGCACCGCTGAAGACGTGTCACCTGGAAAGGCCACTGTCAAAGAAGAAACCCTACTCGGTTTTGAGAAGGAAAAAGTGAAGCCCTTCATGAAGTTATTGCCACTGATAATACGACAATTCCTGATGGAGCAGATGAACCTCACGTGAAGCAGAAGCCAGTACGGAAGAAGATACGTCCCGTAAAATTAAGAGACTTTGTTGAATTTTAATTTAAGTTATTGTTAATTATCCATTGGTTTAACTTAAGTGGCTATTGTTCCGGACGAACAATACTAAGGAAGGGGTGGTATTACGACAGCGGAAGTCACGTGACGCTGATAACACGTAATGAGTATCTAGGAAGATCGAAGAACCTGTCGAATGTCCTAGCGTATGCTAGACTCGCGCTCATATAGTATATAAGCCAGTGAATAAAGTGACAGCAACAATTGAATTGCAGACAGTGAGAGATAGAGACTGAGAATTGAATCATGCGCGGTAGTAAGTAAAGTGCGTGAATCGTTCGTTGTGAATTATAGCGTATGTTGAAGTGAAAGGGACTGTGGAAATTAAGTGTACTGCAAAGTTGAATTGAGAAAGAATAAACTAGTTTTATTTAAGAAAGGACTTTAATGGCTGAAGTTCCTTGGGAAGAATTTATACCGGGAAATTAACAAACGAACACAGACGTAACGTAGTTTTATTTAAGGAAGGACTTGTATCGCTGAAGTTTCTCGGGAAGAATTTTTACGGGAAATTAACAAATGAACAGAGACGTAACAATGTTTAAATATCATGTTATGTTTCGGAATTGATGCAAGAATATTAAGTCCAATGTTAGTGACTTAATTATATATATTATTATGGCAACACGTATATTTGAGTGAAACTTTTATTTTTCTCATATGCCAGGATGCCCCCCAGTGGCACAGTGGTATGTCTGCGGACTTACAACACTAGAATCCGGGTTTCGATACCCGTGGTGGGCAGAGCACAGATAGCCTAATGTGTAGCTTTGTGCTTAATTTCAAACAAACAAACAAACATATGCCAGGAAAATTCTAACATGAATAATTCAGTCATTATATTTATCTTATATACGATCCCTAAACCTCGCAAATCGATCACAGTTTAATAGAGGGCGAAAAATTATTCGAGTTAGGAAAATAGTAACGGCAAACCATGTTCGTACAGTATGAGGGTTGAAGATGCACAGATAAAAGAAAACTACACCTAGATATTAAAAACCAGACTGTTTAAGGGATATATTATTCAATTTATGGTAACTCGGTTAAAATTAGCCAGGAAAGATGTATTGTGTTTCTGTTAAGTCTTTTTACAACTTCAATTTAATTATTTTAAATTGTAACAACATAGTAAACTGAATAAGTAAATTTTAACATAAGGGTAACTGCAGTGTGAAAAGAAAGCGGCCTGTCATTCTACGCATTAGTGTAGTACTTATTGGGTTATTCTTAACTATGCTACTAGTATAGCTAATTTATCCTAATTCATACCGATTCTGTACAACGATTAAGGTAGTCATATTGACGTTTATACTCAGTGTATAGTGCCAAGATATCTGTCACGTGTGATGTCGCTATCATTATCAGATTAAAGAACTTTTAGTCGTATTCAAAAAAGAAGCGCCATTTCACAAATGATAAAATTAAAAGGTTTGGGGGTCGAGAAGGGCTGACATCGTGTGGGCACTTTAATTCAGCTGGGTGTCTTTCACTATAGTATATAGCATAACTTGCATGTATGCGGTAATCTTGACTGGCTAGAAATGTTGCACAGAAACTGCCCCTCACCCTCTCATGATGATTTTCATTCAAAACCTAGTTTCCATTTATGGATTTCAGGTGTCAGGTAGTTTAGACATGTAGTACAATTAGGCCTGGTATCTTTGAGTCTGTAATCTGAAGTCACTATCTCTGTCACAGTCAGCTTGTTCCAGTTTAAGAGTACAGTATTGATATTTTTCATAAGAACATAAGATGTATCTTCAAAGTGACAGATGGCTGTTCAACTCATTTGTCACTAGTTCACCCAACACATTTAACAAACTAAACCAATTCTAAAGTTATTGTAAAGAACTAAAAGTTACCCATTAACTAATAAGTAATATAACCAATTTAATATATGAGTCTATCTAGGAGTATGCAAAGTCATAAAATAGGACCTTGTAATTATTGATTCATCAATTTGGAGTTCTTGTTATTATAAATATTTGTCTTATTCTGAATAATATCATAATGTTTGACTAGTTTAAGAGATTTAAATTAGTCTTAAGTCCTTACACTAAGCTAACAAATGTAAAATAATCCTCACAAAATTAAAAAAAATTTTTTTTTATACATAATCATCTTGAATGTTTTTTTTTTGTTGTTAAGCTCAAAGCTACACAATAGACTATCAGTGCTGGAAACTGGGTTTTTAGTGCTGTAAGCTTGCAGACTTGCCACTGAGGAGCTCATGAAGTGAAATGACATTGAATTATAGTTTATATCTACATTTATATTAAACATTTTAACCAATACTGTTAATGAAACTGACATTAAAGAAAGAATAGAATGTAACATGATTACAAAACATGGGAAATAGTCTGTAATTTTTTGCTTTATGCACTTATAAGTGATTCCCTTAAAGAGTTGATAGACAGTTCCTGTTATGCTGAATTTAGCTTAAAAGAGTAAACTAACAGTAACAGCACAAAACACATTTTCAGTTAAATATTTTCCTGAACTTTAAAACTCAAATAATTTTATTTTTCATTAAATCTGAGGCTGTTATATGCTTCCAACAAACCAGCAAGGATGTAATACACTTCCAACAAACCAGCAAGGATGTAATACACTTCTAACAAACCAGCAAGAATGTAATATGCTTCCAACAAACCAACAAGGATGTTATACACTTCCAACAAACCAACAAGGATGTTATACACTTCCAACAAACCAACAAGGATGTTATACACTTCCAACAAACCAGCAAGGATGTAATATACTTCCAACAAACCAGCAAGGATGTTATACACTTCCAACAAACCAGCAAGGATGTAATATCTCAGTAGGCCTTTAAGCTGCCTGTTTATTGGAAGTTAGTCCAGTTAAAATTGGTTACAGTACAATGTATAGTAACTTTTATTGTTTTGTAACAGAGATTAAAATTTATGGCTTAAGCCAGACTCTGAAAACAGAAAGAAGTCACTTCTCCCTCCAGGTGCCAATGAGGAGAAGTTTTTAAAATAGGGAGACTTCATATTTCTGTATAAAATGCATTCACAACATGAAAATGCCATTTAGTAAAAGAAATGTTGTTTATTTACGGTTAAGTATTTCCATTATGTGTGCATGTGAATATATTTATACATTCTTACATGTTATTTGAAACATTAAATTTCTTGTATTTTTAATCTAAAATATTTTTCAGAATCTAAGAAAACCATTTTATTTTCAATTTGAATCAAGTAAATAATATGTCTTCATTCAAAATAATAAAAAAACATTTTTCTAAAATCAATGCATTTTCCTTTTTTTCTATATATTTTTTTCTACCTTACAGTTTAAGTGTCATTCATAATTTGTAGTCTTAGCAGGAATTTCATGCTTGTGTGCATACACATTGCTTTTTCCTGCATCTTTACAAATTGAGCAATACCAAATCCCCTGCTATCTTGTATATAGCAGCTGAGGTCATTCTGATTCAAAACTTTGAGAAACATTTTTGCTTTCTAATTTTTCATGTGCCTTTCATTTCTGGCCAGGAATTAATAAGTAAACACAATTTAAAATGATACTCCTTTATGTTACAAGTCTTGTTTAATTAACAATTACCTCCCATGGCAAACAATCCAATCAAAAATACAGCAACCTATATGCTGAAAAAGATGCATGGTACTTTTCCTATTAATTATCAACTAATGTACCATAATCCACTGATAATAATTAAGTAAATTAAAGCTGTCAATACAATATACAGTCAGCTTTTGTTTCCTTTGTTTTTACTTAATCTTTCAATATCAGTTGATGTATGTAATTAGTGTTAACATACCTCAGTTAGGAGATTGGATTAAGCATTCTGATAGGCTTAAGCCTACATTATTGTATGCCAAGCTTGTAGTGTCTCAATGGTTTGATTGGCTTATACTGCAAGGTTTGTGACAATGCTGCTGTCTTTGGCATGGTGGGTAGCTGACTGAGCTGAAAAACGATGGCAACTCAAATTTTACTCCATGTGTGTGGGGGGGGGGGGATAAAAAGCAAAGTCAGAACTCTGAAGGTGAAGTTAAAGCTCTTTGATGACCTCTGCAGAATATTGAATTGTATGCACATTGTATATGCTCTATGAATGTTAACAGTTTTTTTTCTTGTCTTTTAAGCAAGATGATGAAAATGTCAAAGAAAGAGAAAAAAATATTCAGAAAACAAGTTCGCTCATGCAAGATTCTGGAGAAACATGAAGGGATTAAAAGTGTTGATGAAGCCTCCCGTGTAAGTTTTCATACATATGTCATAAAAATTTAGATATTTCAATTACTAGTACTACTGCATTGATGCATTTAATCTAGAAAATTGTTCCATAAACTAAATAAATGAAAAAAAGTGTATCTGCAAAATATTAGACCTGTATATATGATTCTACATTTTTGTTTATGTTAATTACTTTTTACTTGTTGTTCTAATATTTAAGATACTTTTTTCAACCTGAACCATATGAACCATGAGTTATGTTTCAAGTGTTTGACTCTAATTTCATTGTAAAAGTATTGAAAAATATATGGTAAATCTCTGAGCTTTCATTACAAGATGTCTTATTACATAATTTCCTAAATTACACAAAAATTACAGAATTTGAATAGATATAAAAATTAAAAAGTACATTTAAACAGGATAGCTTACCAATTTCATCTGCATCCCCTCTTAGAACTCCATGACAGGTGGGGTCAGTGGGTACTGAATCTTTCTCCTTAATTATGGATCCCCCCAATCCAAATAAAAAAAATGTTAAAATTCTGCTAATCGGTAAATGACCACACCTAAAAGACTCTTAACAGCAGTCTCCATCACAAAGTTCACCTGTACCTCACTTCCTGATCCTGCATTCACTGTCCCATAAATCTTTAGGGCAAAT